AACCAAATATGAACAGCTTCCAGAAAAAAAAGACTTACTTTCTGCTCCCTGATTATAGTAAAAATCCTTAATGACAAAGCTCTCATTTGCTTTGTCACAGGGACATGATTTCACACAGATGCAATGCATGTTTGTTATATGATCATGTATGATGCACAATCAGAATTGTAAACTATGTAGTCAGTTTAGTAGAAAAAAGTAGTCAGTGCTGTAAATGAACACTTCAAGTTACATTGGCAAATTACCCTCAAGTGATTGTTTGGTTATATTGGTCAGCAGATGTGAACAGGATAGACTGCTGAAAAATGTTCTGACTGAATTAATTTGAGACCGTCTCTCTTGCCTGATGCTAGAATTTTATTTTAAAAATTCTTTTCAAAGGTCTTAGTTCTCCATTAGATCTCCTATGCTGTTGAACAGATGAGAAAAAGGTCACTATCATATTGTACATCTTTCATGTACCCTACTGCCATAGTACTTTGGTCTTTATCATTGTTTTATCCAAAAAGGGTCATAATTACACATGTTAATATGATCCTCACAGTCCATGTGAGTAGCTGTTACGGAAACTTTGCTCTGTTCAGTGCATCATCTGCCCTGATTTTCTTGGAAGTAGGCATTTCTGTGCCTGTTATGTTTTGACAATATATTCTCAGCCCCAGCTAAGACTTAGCCGTTGACTGTTGAATCTCCAATTGAAATTATGTTTTTTTGCAATTCTATGTAATATTCCACTGTTGTTAACATTATTCATTCTCACCTAGCAGGCCTGAACATTTATTAGTTAATATAGTAAATACAGTAAATACAGCTTTGTGGCTTTTGAGATGTGCTTTACTTAATATCTAAAGTCTGTCCAGACATTTGTTTCCATAATGGAATCTGTAGAAACCCGATTCTCTCAGCAGAATAATTCTAAAATTTAAAAATTTTAATGGATTATATTTGAAAGTAAATTAGAAACAAAACCCACAACTTGCATCAGTGTTGTAATTTATTTTTCATGTTAAAGTAATAAAAGTCTCAGTGAATACGTATAGTTACATTTGATAATGATTCAGTCAGTTAGTAAACTGAAGGCAACTGCTGCCTTCTGAGATGCTGTGCGTGCAGTCCACCTCCCAAGAAGAGCTTTAGCTCACAGCCATTTTGCATGGAAGCAGCTCAAACTGGTTCACAAATCTGTGGGAATTGTTCTTCCTAAAAATCCCACAGAACTGGGATGATTTGTATGGCTGAGACTCAGATTTTGGGAGCTTTCCATGGACAGAGCTCTGTGATGCCTCTTAGGCAATTGGAATAGATCAGCCCTTACCAGAACCACGAGGCACAGGTTCCTCAGCTCTTTCACTTTAGCAGGAAATCTCTAGCCTCTTTTTGTCAATTCTTTCTGACTGTCTTTTTTGAAATGTCTAAGTTTAGCCAGAGTTCAGGTAGTCTGCACTGCAGTTACAGTAGTGTGTATCAAGTCATCAATAAAAAAATCTGCAGTATACTGAACACTAAAAATTTTGGGACAGCGCAAAAGCAACTTAATTAAAATTAAAACAGAAAATCTCACAGGGGTCTAAAGCATTGGTTATGTTATTAATTGCATCTATTTTTTTATTAGCCTCCACTTTAAAAGAACGTAAAATGTCAAGAACTTCTGGATTGCACAGCATAAAAGGTTTACACAATCAAAGGATTTTTCCTTAGGACTTAGGTCCTCTTCTTTGGACAGGTAATTGCATTCTTTATAATGTCTTACTTTAATGGCTGCTAACAGAAGAGAAATATTTAAATTGTGGCACACCAAAAAATTACCTCAGAAGAAGAGTTATTGGATGTAAAGGATGTGCAAAAAGAAACATTGGAATTTATGTAGATTCTCACATTTATGAACATGAATGCTCTTTCTTTTCTTTCCTTCATTCCCAATTTCATTTGCTCTGTAGACTTAATAGCTCTCTTAATCTTGGAAAAGTGCAATGTATGAAGAGAGTAGTCAACCTTTAGGAGCTATTAAAGTAATGTATGCCCAATACCTCACACAAAGGCATCTCCATCTCCTGACAAGATATCACCATGCATAGTAGGAAAATAAGAGGAGAAATAATATGGAAGACATAAATTTCTGGCAAAACTCCCACAAGACAATCACATTTCAGCAAAGATTAGTCTGGTTTGTTGTTTCACTGGCAGTTTTTAAGATCCAGTCCAAGCAGAGCAGGGCCCCTCCTGCAAGCTCCCTGAGTGAGAACAGCCTTCATCAACCCCCTAGTTCTTAGGAATCCCTCTTACTCCTTGCCCACATGTCTATGGAGGTCTACAAATAGCTGAGAGCACCCTGCACACCCAGTTTGGTTGCACCAGCTGAAAATAGTCATCAGATCACCTAAATGTGGGCCGATGCTAACACAAAGACCCTAGGAGTCCATCATCTCCTTAACCAGCAGTGTGGAGCAGGTACAACAGAGGACTTGCCTCAGAGGGCTTAGACTTTGTTACCTGTCAATAAGCTTCCAGACCCACCATAATCAGATGGAAATAGTATCAGTTACCACTGAATAGGGATAAATCAAAATGACACTCAACTTCTCCTGAAACAAAGTTTCTGAGGAGGAGAAGCATAGAAAGGGTGTGTATATGGGTAGAAAGAGATGGACCAGGGGAGAGTTTTAAAGGACTCTTCTTGTAGGAAGCTGCATGTGCAAGTTCAGGAAAAAAATGAAAAGGAAAGATCCTCTGCTTGGTACCTGATGTACCAGGGCCAAAAAAAAGAGCCTGTGAGAATTGACTTAAACTCTGTTGTTTAGCCTCCTGAAGACACTCAATGCTGAATCACAAGACCCGCTCCAGAGGGAACCATCAGAGAAGCAGGAATCACTGCTATGGCCCGTGTGAGATATATGTGATCTGAACACCTAGCCAGCAATTCCTGCACACCATGCTGGGTCCAGAAGAATAGATCATTATACTTTGAAGTAAACAAAAAAAATGGGAAAAAAAGAATGGAATATAAGTGGCTCAAAACTGATGCTTTTTGTTATTAGACATTCCATATAGATAGTTTGTAAGTACTTTTTGGTAAAAGTGCCTAAGTATACTTTATCCTAACGTGCCGTGTATTTTCTACTTTAATTTCATGCCTAAATCGATAGCTAATTATAATTTGACAAGAAAAAGAGATTGCAATGGATATGATCTACCTGCTCTGCTGTTCAATTGTAATGTGGTTGTCTGACTTCACAGTGTTACCACAATTTGTCTATACCATTTCCAGAGTCACCGTAAGAATCAGGAAATAAATTTCTAGCAAATCATTTCAACACCATGCAGAATTGTCCGAGAAGCCCTTTGTCTGTGGCTGATGGAAGAGGGAAGATTTTGATGTCTAATTGTTGACACTCATTTGTCCAGGATTTAAACAGCTTCCATCCTGGGTCTTATGACCAGATGCAAATTAGGGAAACTTTATCCAGGACTGTGGTCATTTAGGCAATGATTATTAAAGCAATGTATCCTTGAAGAATCTGAGAGTACAATTGCCATCACAAATAACATCTGTGTCCTTCTCTAGGCCTGTCACACAAACTTGCATGCTTCCCATAAACACACGAGAGATGTTTTCTCCCCCACCCTGCAAACCTGTTAAGAAATGGACAACTGGATATGTAAAAAATTATCTTGATTTTCGTGCTCACCAGTCATTAAAGGGTTACTTTTCAGAGCAGCACAAAAAAAGACGAGCTGGTTGACCAAACATTATTTTTCTTACAAAGAAGTGTCAACCCTGAGCTTGTAATTAAGAAGTTAAAATCTGTGATTTATATATATTTATATATATAAAAATAGATGATCATACTAAGACTAAAAAAGTGAAAGAAATCTCCATGTCAGTACTTTATATTTGTTTGTTCTGAAATTTTGTAGAAGAAATCCTTGTGACACTGAAATTAACTGATATGAAAGATGTAGTTAGGTGTGAAACACACTATTGATCCGGTCGCTGTTAGTCCATTAGAGAATTGCCGTCTTGGTAGGATAATGAACATAGTAGCAGAAAGTCCTAATCGATGTCAGAACAGTGAAAAAAGGAAAGAGATTCTATCACAAGAGATTATTTTCTGTCCGAACCCTTGAGGGGACATTTGTCAGGAGCGTTGTTTAGCATTACCACCATGGCTGATGGTGAGCTAAGTGGAAATCTGTGCCAATTGTGTAACATGGATAAATACTAAAAGAAGCTAGGTGAAATCGTGCTACTACTCAATTTTTTACTGGGCATTAAGATTTAAATCCTAAACAACTGTAACATGATATTCTGAAGCTAGTGGATGTACTATCATACTAAAAGATAAACTTATTTTTCAGCTTCTCTACCTTCATACCAATCTGATGTGGTTGGCAGATGAAGTGCAAGACATTCACCGTTGAGACATACTTTTGTGTTGGAAAAAAAATCCAGACTTCCTCCCTATAGCAATGATCATTCTGATGACTTGAATCATTCTACAGAAGTTCCTAAAGGAAACCTGGCTGTTAGTGAAGAACGGTTGCAATTTTTTGTTCCTCTCTTGTCTTTTTTTTGTTTTGTTGATATTCTGTTGAAATGCAGCAGCCTTAAGTCAGGCCTGATTCTGAATGGAAACTGTTTTCTTGGTTTCTTTCCCCCTCTTTTTTCTCATTAGGGAAAAACACACACTGTAAGATCCTTTTTTACTTTTGCAGCATAAAAGGAAATGAAGCTCAGAAAGTCTCCTGTAATAAAGGTGTGAGAAAGAATTCTCTCAAGAGTGGATATCGTCTTCAGAGATATCTGAAAAAAAGCAGGAAGCAGTTCAGTCTGGCACCTGGTACTCTTTGGGAAAACAAAAAAGGGAAGCAGGTTGCAGTACTGCTCTCTTCTTGTAGAAAACTGCAAGTGTTTGTGGCATGGTCCATTGTCCAAGAGTATAAGAAAAGAAGAAAGTTGGCTGTTTCTATAGCTAAAACAGTTTCTCTGACCAGATCCAGGATTATCTCCACTGTCTTTGCAGTACGAGAGTGATGAGGACGATGAGCGACGTCTGCAGTGAGCAGCCTGGCTGTGTGGCTGAAGCCTCCACCTCCCTCCTGTCGGAGTCGACCGGTGGCGCTTCGGTGGTGATGAAATCGAACTCGGTGGGACAGATGTCGTCCGTGCAGCCGCTGCCGCTGCCCGAGCCGCTGGTTTCGTCACCTGGCACAAAGGAGCGAGGGAAACAACACGAAGGCCATGGGTTACAGTGTTCATCCCTTTTCTCTGTTCCCTTTCCACCCAGTACCCCGGTGGGGATGAACATCTTGGGAATGGGAAAGTGTTGGTGGGAATGGGAAAGTTTAATTTGATAAAGCATCCAAATGAAAGCCACTCTGATTTAATTAGGTGATTAAATGCTCTTCTGAAAAAGGAGTGGACTGCTGCCATTATGGAAAACCCTCAGTGTCTTGCTGCTTTTGACATGAAGATAAGCGAGAGAAGCAAAAGAAACAAATATATAACTGGAATTTCATGGGACAGAAAAAGACTGTTTTTTAATGTTATCAGCAACACAGAGAACAAAGACAAAAGAAAGCCATTGCAATGCAACCGATTTATAAATGTGTTCCAAAAATGCACTTATTGACAGTTAATGGTTTCTTACTTGCATCCTGGAAGTTGACATCATTTCCATTATACGCATTCTTCAGTTTGTTAGTCATGACACGTAAAGCCATAATTTGTTGTCGAATGAAGGTGTCTGGCCTTGTGATGTCCACATCTACTTCTGGATTGTTGATCTGGTTGGTCAAGCCATCGTTCATAATCTCAGGCAAGTATCTATATAGCGGGATGAATGATTAGTTTAAAATGCAGTAAGTTTCAGAAATGTACAGTAAATGCTGTGCTAAGCAATTTGACACTGATAATGATTACACAGCTCTTAAACAGCTCCAGTGAAACCATTTAAAAAATATAGTTTTTAATTTTACATACTCTAAAGGATCTTTTTAGTAGCTCAGCTGCATGGACAGCAGAAAGGATTTAAGCTCTCCAACCTCCTAACTCTCCACATACACCCCAGCAAGTGCACTGGCTCTGTGATCTATGGAAGAGGTTCACCAGCCAGCAGTAAGTCACTGCATGTTCAGATCCTCTACTGGTATGAATGGTTGCACACTAAATTAAGCGTTAACAGTGCATGCTTCTGGTTTTATTTCTTTTTGCTTAAAAAATATGAATTCCTTTGTTTTATATAGCATATTTGGTATTCTGAGATAGTTTAGAAGGCTATCTTGAGGCATTACGGCTCTCCTTGTTTAAAGGAAGATCTTGATTAGTTTTCTTCTCCAGTTTTTCCTTGCATCCTTTTTTTGATCACTGAACAACATCCCCAGTTTATCCGACATCCAGGCCCATAAACGGTGTTGTGAGTTTACCAACACCAGTGCTCTTTGATTTTTTAGAAACAGGCTATACTTGCATCTCCCATGTGCTTTGTGCATAACATATTTAAGGTATGGTATTTCCTATCCATCCACACATCTGAATTTTTATTCAGGCTCTTAGCTTATTATTTCTTGATTACTGCAGCATTCCCTTCTCTGACCTTGGCAAATGCAGTCTTAAGCTGCTAATTTAGGCCTGCTTTTGCAGGTATCTCTCCCCTACAAAAATCAGCTTATGCCTCCAATCATCCCACGGTCAAAGTCTTCATCATTTTTTATTAAGTATGCACACTTTGTCCCCTGCTGCTCTTTGTCCTCAGGAAACTCTCCTTATAGGCATCTGAAAAACTACCTTTTTTCCTGCTTTGAATCTCTGTTAAAAATTATCTGTGTGTTTTACAGCTGCTAGGCTGATAAAGGTCTGACATTATTTCTCTGTGCTGGCATGGTATCCTGAGAAAATAGTGTATCACTGCTTCCCTGTTTTCTCTTGTCTGTATTTACCTACTATCTTTGTCCCATATTTAGACTGCAAGGGATTTGGGGAAGATTTACCCCTTATTCATGTTCTTTATCAGGATATGATCTGTTTTGTAATTCGTTTGCATACCAGGATATCCTACTGTTGTTCGTGGGACTCCTCATGTGGGTATGTGATCAGCCAGTAATGATAGCACAGCCTAGCCTACTAATGCAGGCATTCATGATGCCTGGTACCTTATATAGTTTAAGAGTATTTCTCTTCACTCTCACTTGTGCCAGCCCAATTCTCTATCAATATTAAAATTTGTCATTGGTGCTAGTGTTATGTTCATATTGGTCTGGAACATAAATACATACCTTAAAAATAAATGTGAAAGTAAGGAGAAGAAATTACTTTTGCTGCTGAAGTCACGGTTAAGGGAAAATAAGTTTTGTATTGCTTCTGGAGGTTCACAAAATGATGACTGCTTTGCTGCACCAGGGAAGGGTTTAGTCTCATTGTAAAAGGTCCTTGCTTTACAAGATGAGACTCATTTGTCATCAGTGGCCTTTGAAAGTTTACATGAGAAAAATCCTGGGGGAGCATGAACATGTAAGAACAAAACATGACTGCCAAACATAACCAGCCTCAAACTGCATGTCCCGTTGTTTCACTAGTACCATAACGAGAAATAACAATGCTGTGGGGATCCCATCCAGACTCCTGTGGTACAGGCTTAGCTATGGTGAGAATACAGAACCACCTTTCCTAGTACGGAGGACTGCAGACTGCAGTGTTATGAATCACCAAAGATAGGAACTGGAAATAATTCTGCAGAGCTGCCTGGAGGCAGCAGGACAAAGACCTTGGCATGCAGGGAATCTCTGGGCTGCAAAGGAACAGCACCTCCATCTGTCACACGTCTCTACAAATGAAATGGCTGCTGTAGATAAATTACTCAGCATAGAAGTAAATCAGCGATTTCAAGGTGCAGTTGATTAAAAAAAGTAAGAATGTAAGAACTGCCCTACTGGCTCAGAAAGAATGTCCATCTTGCCCAGTATCTTGTCCATGACAATGGCCATAACAGTTAGCAGCCAGGAGTGATTTGAAATTGCCAAGCGTTCATGTGGATTGCTTTCCTTGTTTATGTGGGTTAGCTGCTCTTTATTGCTAGCCATCCATGAGAAGCTATGGTTAGCTCTGAACGGTGGTTAACAGGCTTTCTTTGACTGATTTGTGTTTGATTTAATCTTGCCTTATCATCAATAATAAAAGAAGGATGTACTGACTGTTTAGTGAGCTTCTTATATGGGGACAATATGAGTTAGTCTGGAGATTTAAGGCAGTTACAGAGTGCTCTGTTGTGTGCTTTTTATCGAGGTTCATATTCTGCACTGTGATCAGTGTGGATCTGATGTCCTTCTGAAGACCATCTAAATTTAAATGGGCCAGGGTATTCACTTATAGGAAGTGATTCAGTCAAACTGTCACACACTTTACAATGGCTGCCTCAGGATCTGGTGATCCTCAAAGAATTCCTGACATGGAAGTGCTTAACCTCTCAGGAGAATGGTCCAGTGCACCTCACCTAGATGTGTAAGCAATCCATACTGGCTGTGGGTCACAAGAAATCCATTACCTTATGATTGCCTCAGGTGGATACTTAAATTGCTAGGTGAATGAACCTCTTGTCATTTAGGGCATAAGAGCAAAAGAATTAGAGAAGCTGAAGATTCATCTTTAATTTATACAGATACCAAAACTTGTTTGTCTAAATGCAAGTGTCTGCATATGAGCATATCTAGTCAACACAAGATCTAGTCAAAACTAGCCAGGAGTTTATTTGTCAGCAGAGTGGGGGCAGCTGTTGGCATCCCACATGCCTTTGGCCAAATGACTAGTTCATTAGATTTCGTCTGCTGGGATTTAGCTGCACAAACATAGACATCTGGTGCCATTTGAATGCTCTTGCTTATTCTACCTCTTCTTGTTAATAGCCCTGAAAGGTGTGGCTTTCTGTATCCTATCCACATGCTTGAGGGGGAGATCTTGGACACCTGGGGCAACTAAAATTATATTTGGTGTCTTTCTTTAGGAAGCTGAATTGTGTCTCGGGTGCCGCTTTAGTCACCAGGGCGCATGCTGCTTGGTGGCCTGCTGCCGCTCCAGCAGGGTTTGAATATCCTGTAGGTCCAGTGTCTAATTTGCCAGCTCCATGAAGGCGTCTTGACTATTTAGATCATCTCACATAGCAGTAGATCAGTGTCTTTGGGCAGTGGAAAAGTGCCTCACTGACTACACTGACAGGATACCGAGGCTCTCTTCAGGCACCTTAACACTGGTGATTTTTAAAACGCTCAAGCAGTCCTAGCCCAGCCTCTGGTCCAGATGGGAGGTAGTGTCCTGTGTCATATTCATCTCAGATGTGCTGGAGAGTCTCAAATGGCACTACAGTCACTTGGGCAACACAAGTGACTCCTTATTGTCTCACCCACAGGCATCTACATTTAAGTGCATAAATTTACATGTCTGAATGTGCAGTTGGATTCTGCCCTCATTACCGAACTAATTCACCTGCTTCCTCTGGGGGAGAGTCAAAAAAGAAAAGGCAGAAAAGCCTATATTGAATGTAAATATCCTTGAATTGTTTTCCTTTCTTTAAAGGACTGGTTCAGATATGAGAACACACAGTCCAAGGTGTTCTGTGAGTGACAGCCTCTGAGAGGCAGCCTGGCACATGTTCTGACAAAAGCATTTTGATGTGTGTAGGGTAGGGTTATGTCACATCGAACTGGAAGCCATGTCTTGGGACCACTTTTTGACAGAAGATTTGTTGCTGGCTGGGCAAAGTTGTTGAACACAGCTGCTTTTGCTGCAGCTCTGTAGGTGCAGACACCCCTGTGAATTTTAAGCTTTGCTGCTGCTTCTGCTCTCATTAATGATCTCTTTGTAGGCCTGGTCATTACAAGAACTGTATGCCCATTATAAATGAAAAGAAGAGAAGTGCCAACCTGAATCAGTGTCTGTTCTTTGCGTCCTCCTAGCAAAAAAAAAAAAAAAAATCAGCTTTCTTAGCCCTCTGAGTATAGAGAAGCTGAACAATATTGTTTGCTTTCTGCTGTTTGCTCCTTGCTCAGAAATGTCAGGATTTTAGTGTAATTTACATTGTTTTCTAAAATATTAATGCTTTCTGTTCCTCTTAGCTTTTCCAAAGTTCTTGCTTGTCTCAGCAGACACAACAAAGATGTCTTTTGGCACATCATAGCCAAGTACCACAAAACTGATCTAAAACCAATTTTTTTTTTTTTTTTTAAATAACCAGTTAATGTTCCAGGGTGCCTGTTTCCTTTTCAAATCTAAAAATGACTGATGAATCTTTCAGGTCATTTATATAAAGGCTGTAGCTATGAACAGAAAAAAAAGGAGGAATCTTCTGGTTTTTAAGACATCTGCCTCATAGGGCAGCTTTCTCCATATTTTTCTGCTGCAGCAGCTGCTTACAGTATGACTGGAGCATCCCACCTAGGCAGTACTGGAGTTTTTCCAATTGCACAGAATTGTAGGCAACAGAGTACAAAATACAGCATGGGCTTACTCAGGCTGGGCTGGGTGTAGGCAGTCACATCTGGTCCAGAAAGATAAGTGCAGTGGCAAATTGGCTTGTTTGGCTAACTAGATCACCTCATATGATTCTGTTTGCTCAGGAGGTAATCTCCATAGGATACTTTCAGGTTGTGGTTTTTTTTTTTTTTTTTGTTTTGTTTTGTTTTGTTTTTGTTTTTTGTTGTTTTTTTTTTTTTTTTCCTCCATCTTGGAGAAAAACTTGAGGAGACAGAAAGAGGGAGAAAATGGCTCATCTGCCAGTTTGTTGGAAGAAAATGCAGAAATAAACTAGAGCCACTAATTAAGAATAGGCAGTTTTCACACTTACTGAGAAGTGGTTTATTCACACTTTCACTAGTGTGAAACTAAACAGTTATCTTTGCCTACCTCCAGGTAAAAGACATTCACTTGTTCTCACTGCAAGCCTTGCTGGTCAGCAATGAACAACTTTCTCAGGGCTGGCAGTGATCTGGTGAGTCTTTCTTCCCACCTGAACTTCACCAGGAATTAAAGGCTCTCTGCCAGGGAAGTAGGCACTCCCATATATGTGGCAGGAGAAGAAGAAAATTTCAGGCCAGTTGAGACTCCATCCTGTGTTCATTTTGGTGAAATACCTTATACTTTTGAGCTAGATGTTGAAAAATAGTGTTCATTTTTCCTTTTATTCCTCACTTTTTCTATTTATTTTCTGTTTATAATTACTGTCTGATATGTAATTCTATTTCTTCTTGATTGTACTTAGAGGAGTGATAGGTTCATGGAATGGAATGCAGGATCTCATCTCTTCCATAGATTACTGCCTTTCAGAGCTAAGACATACCAATAAGGCTATTGTCTTGGTGAGTATGAGCACCATGATGATAGTACATGAGCACAGTCTTTCACATGGTTTGGCTGAAACGAGTTAGCTGAGTTGGCTGAAGCAATTCAAGGTTCTTCTCCTGACCACCAGAGCTGCTGCAGATTCGGTTACTGTTCTCACTTCAGTAAAATTCACTTATTCAAAGGCTAAGACCTTGGATTTGGTTTAAGTCTTAAAGCCCAAATTCCATCATCCTTGGGAAAATTCCGTAATTTCTGGAGAGCATCTATTAGTGAAGAGGTTATCAGCTGATGTTAAGAACTTATCTGTGTATAGGGAAGAAGCTAAACTTTTAAAGTTTCATCTTAATGATTTTTTTAGATTCTAAGTATCTTTAAAAAATCTATCTCTGTACATCTGGCAGAAGACATGAATTCTTTAAACATTGTGTTCAAGTTCTTTTGTGAATGCAGGTATGATGGGGACTAAAAGGCACTTTGTCTGAAATAGCTATTATTATTTTTTTAACATGGATTTTTCAAAGAAAGAGATTTATCCACCTAATAAATGTTTTCCCATTTCCACAGCACTTGGTTTCTACCTGATGTGACCTGATTAAAACCATTCTTTGTGCAGGATCAGCAACAAGCCAAGTGCACCCTTCCAGACGCCAAATGGATGACTCTGTTACCCCATGATTATTTGCGAATTGGCGACCTTCATTTGGCGACCTGGTGTCACTGTAAATTAATCATGCTAGCAAAGTGGTATATGGGGAATGTAATAACCACAAGTGACCTTGGTGTAATGCCTCTCTCAAGAGAAATCCTAGCTTTCATTTTCTGTGATCTCAGGTTTGTAACTCTTTTCCCCTGTAAAAGCAGCATCAAAAGGTGATGTGCAAAATGAAACATGAGGCATTATGTCTATCTAGCAATTCAAAGTTTCTAATTCTTTACACCACCATAACATCTGATCAAAAACCAGCAACAATCTCCTTTCCCAACAGCAGCCAACACCATGTTGTCTTTCTACTTGTAGAATTAATGTATAGGAAAACAGGAGGCAGCTAAATTTCCTTTTTTTTTCTATTATAGGCCGTTGTCACATTATCTGGAATTCAAAATGCAGCTCCTCATATAGCACAGGGGTGCTTATGACAAGTGACACAGTGAACACAAATGGCTATATACATATTGGCCAGATTTTGCCGCCCTTGTTCTTGTGAACTAGCATTTGATATCAGATATTAATCAGTATGATCAAGGAAACATTTATGGTTTTTCTTTATGCTGCAGTAAATGTCTTTGTTCACCATTCAAGAGGTGATTTTGCATCTAAAGCTAGTTATTTTCAGTAATATTTTCAGTATTAATTCACATACAGGCCATGGCATTCTCTGGTATCTCTATGATTTATTACTGAAGCATTTATTGAATTCTGTTACTAAGACTGTGATTACGCATTTCCTCTGTGAATGGATATGAAATAGAAACTGGACTGAGAAGCAGTGTCTGGGCCTTCTGAAACTGTATTTTCAGGTGATGCTTTCATTCCACATCCAGTGAAATGTTTGTGTTAAATTAATCAAGGGCATTATCAGCAGAGAATAGCTTTTCTCAGTGGCTCCAGAACATTAATCTCAGAAGGCATCATGAAAATAACCAGTCTTCTCATAAGACAAATATTGCAAAAGGAGGGTGAAAAACTACATGAAAAAAATGCGCCTCCATAACTCCCAACAAACGTGGAAGTTGTGCCAGACCTTTCAGTGCAAGAGCAGCAGAGGGATGAAAACTAACAGCCAGACGTGGTACAAACACTAGTGTTGGTAATGGAAACCAGGAGGGATATTAGCAGGTTTGACTGCTCTTTTGAAGAAACAGTAGCATAGATCTCTTACTAATGCATGCATCCTGATGCGATGCATGGCATCCAGCTGGGAGGTCTGGAAACTTCATTTAACTGCTTCAGCACACCAGCCTGGGGTCCTATCTCACAAAGCCTTCTGATAAGAAGAGATATAATAAAGGAAGATAGAAACATGATTTTATTTCTCACTTCACACTACTCCTTTGTGGTGAGTCCTGTAATAGCCAGATGTTCCTCCTAGCTGTCTTTCTCAGAATCCCCAAGGGCTTTCTCTGGGTCTGGAATTTAGGAACTGAGCATTGATTTGTACTTTTGGATAGATTTGCTCATGTGGGTCTCAAAGTGGGTTCAAATGGGCCAGCAGCATCTCCAACAGACCTCTGCTCTCATCTGTAAAATTAATTCTTTCTAGCATTATGTAGTAAGGGTAGGAAAAAGGGCATGTGTTCAGTTCAGAACCTCCCCCTGTAAAGTGTGCTACTTATAAAAATGATTAGATGATGGGGTGGGTGCAATCTATTTATGTATCTGTCCATCCACTCATCCATCCATCCATGCAAAATGTCATTTAACAGGTTTGTGAGTTTTTTCCTGTGTTGTCTTATTTTCACCAAGTTTTTATACTTTATGTACTTGCCTCACTTCTTATTTTCTTGTATTTTTGTTTGTTTGTTTTGTTATTGGTTTATTTTTCTATTCTGGCTTCATATGTATCATCAGGTAAAAGGAAAATAAAGATTCCTGAGTGCCAGAAAGTATCAGTGCTCTCCAGATTCAGTGCTGACCAGACTCTCAAACCTCTCCACTCCTCTTGTCTCCCAAAAGCACAGGCTACTGCTGCAGACCTGAAACCTGACTGGTCCCAGCATGGTCCTTGAGCCAATTCCTCTCTCTCTCAGCAGGGATAATCAGATCGTCTCCTCTGTTAGCTGGTGAATCCACACTGGGGCCTTTGGAGACACCTGCTCATCTCCCAGCTCCAGCCCTGCCACAGCCAGAGCCAAGCAAACCTCAAAATTAAAACTCAGAGAAAACTCATCACAAACAAGGGCAAGATGACCACAGTACCTGATGAAGTAACATAAGGTCAAGCCTTCTACAGAAGGTAAGTAGGAGTGTTACATTTATTCTCTGCTTGATATTTTTCAGGTTTTTGTTTGGTTTTTTTTTTTTTTCCCCCCAGAAAATAGCCCTAAGCTTTGCCAACCAATAGCAAATAGAGCCAAAATTCCAATTTCTGTTTCATCCCAGTACGATATCCCAAGAGTGCAATTGCTTCACAAGCTGTCAGTCCCAACACAGGGATGCTAAATGGAGCTAAAGAGCTCTTTGAAATCTCAGTATAAATTATCCTCCTGGAGCTGAAACAATGAACATTTTCTGTGGTCACATGCTGACACGCGGTGCCCATTTACTCTGACTCACACTCTGGCTTTAATGGCACCTTGACAATAAATAATCTCGGCTACAAGCTGTGTGTGAACAATTACTTGTTCTCCCCATTTCTGTTTCACTCTTGTAAACAGTTTTGTGAAATACTCTCAGTTTCATGATTGCTTCAGGCCAGAGAGGGATTTGGACCGAGTGCGGTGGAGGGGGGTCCACCTCACCTCGCCTTGGTGTGGCCGTTCCAGCAGTCCTCCTCGATTGACGGACCGGCTGTCACTCGCTCATCCTTGCAGATTGTGTGGGGTAATGTTGACCAGAACTTTTTAGAGAGCTTTAGCTTTTCTTTAATGTCTGTTACCTGATTAAGAGACGAGAGGGAAAACAGGTTAAAAACATCAGCCACGCTAACATGTTAAATAATAAGTTGTTTAACTCCATAATGGTGATGATGGTGAAGGTTAAAAGGGCTGAAGGTGCTAAAACTTAAATTCCTGTATTTACAAGCAAGACACTCAGCATTTGGGTTCGGAGAGTACAAATAATCAAAGTCACCTTTTTCCACAGGCAAGACATTAATAAAAGCGTGTTACATCTTGCTCTTTCTAGTCTCCATTTGTCTAAGGTTTTCTACCTATACATATTTCTGAGAATTAATATGCCTCACAGTGTGCTGAATGTAAATTCAGTTAAACAGTGTACATCAGATAAAATGACTCACCCACCAACTTGGTCATGTCTTAGGTAAATATTATATTTAGAGCTACATATGCAGGTTCTAAAAAAATGGTGCAATGCTGAGGTGATGTTGAACTGATTTAAGATACACAGCCTGAATACACTGCAGTGCATTTGGATGTCAGTAACAGCAACAAGTTTTTGTATATACATGCATGCAGAAACTATATCCATCTTTGCTGTATGGTGTAGATAAATATCTGTAGCTGGTTACAGAATTTATGTTCAAGAAATGTTGGGGCAGTATCAAAACAGTTTCTTTACATTATAAACTCCTTGAACAATAATTTAATTTTGTATGATTCAGCAAGCAGGAACAAACTGAGTTTCCAGCATCTTAATAAATAAATGCTCTGGCTAAAATGTTATCAGTTCTTGTTTTGCGTTTGGTATACTAGAGTGGAAAAGCTACAAGAATAGATAGAAAACACAACAAAGGACGGACTATAAAGGATGAATGGTGCCAGTGTTTTTCTTATGGAAACAGATGCATTTCACATTAAGTTGTAATAGGATTTAGGGGAGCTTGTTGAATAGCTTTCAAAAGAAATTGCCAAGCTTTATTCTTTAAAAAACCAAGAAATAAAAGCTCTCCATTCTTCCATTCAGTTTCGAGATTGGCTTTTAGGTTGTTGAGGTACAATATTGCACTTGGCTATTTATCTCTTTTATCTTTTGTTCTGAAGACATGATAGCTCTCTGAGCAAATGGCCCACGCTGCTTTACCATGCTTAAACTCTGTGGAATGTCACTTTATAAGCCAGGAGATAGAAACAGCCCAGGATGTTATTTCAGAAGCACCGTCTGCATTTTCATCTGTAAGAACTAAGTAGGACAGTGTTTGGCTGCATGGGTTGTTGGTGTTTCTTGCCATGATAGACACCTTATAAATCTCCTCCACACCCCTTGCCAAGTCCTAGTTGTTTTGTTTTCATGTGAAATAGCATCATTTGCAAGCCTTTAAAGTCTCAATAGGGGAGACCTGTCAAGCCAAAAATTAAAATTCCAGTTTACAGACCATGGGCAAGCCTTCAGCAGAAGTGGGGGATGGTGTCAGGATACCTGCCCTTTCTGATGTCTTTGGTGCATGGGACCAGGGTCTTTGGGCAGATCCCAAAGGTCCCTCTTCTCCCCCTTCTGCTCATGCTGAGGGTTAAAATCCCCAAGGTCCCTACTGGTACAGCTAACCAGCCCAAGCAACTCAGTTAAATTGCCCAGTGTTCACGGAGAGGTGTGTAAACTGCTATTAGGCCACAGTGCAGTAAATCAGATAGAGAAATCCTATAGGTAACACAGGGAGGAAGATTTACTAGGGATTTACATTCATATAAGCTTGGGAAACATGCAAGTCAAAGGGCCAGATTTTCTCATTTATTGCTTGTGCCTGGATAACTATTTACACAAGCAACATCTGATTGATATTCCTGGTGAGTAATTAGTTTTCAGAGCAGTAACTTTGTTGCTATCTGGAAGTTATTTTAAGCTATTAGAAACTCAGCTGTTTACAGTTATATTCAGATTTCTACCTTATTCAAATCAGAGCTGGTGCTCTAGGACTTGCAGACTTCTATTTTGAACCACAAGTGAGTCAACGTCCATTGGAAAGTGATTTCCCCTCCTGGACCTTGTAAGGGCTGTAATTTGGAGTACAAACCTTATATTTTCATTGATGTCAGCAAAAGAATGGAGAGAGGTTCTCACAGCTCACATGCTGCACATGTTCTCCAGATACTCCCTGAAAATCAAAATGAAGACTCCCACTCCCCAGTCACTTCTGAAGATATTAAATGATGTTTACATACTCTATATGTGTACTGCATATAGAAAACAGATCATTAAATTTCCTAACAAGAAAGATTTTTTTTTTTTTAACTGACATTACAGAGGTACATCTGGTAAAGTAAGATGGTCTTACTTTACCCAGGATTGTTGGTAAATGACAGCTAATTAAATCTCACAGACATCCCCCTCAGGTGTCATTCCCTTTTAGAGCCTGAGGGGAAGGGAGACATTTACGTGACTCACAAAAAGCAGCAGTAGCAAAAATGACTACAGCTTAGGGAAAGGTTACCATTTGCAGCTCTCTCTAGGTGCCTCCAATTCGGGTGCATTTTAACAGTTTTTATCCCCCTCAGGTGTTTTTCTTCATAGCTATCCCCCCTGTCCCTACTGCAGTATTTCACCATCGAGCTTTAAACAACTTGTGGACAGCCTGCAAAATCTTGCTCTTTTCTGCTGTGTGACCAGACCTCTGTTAACCCTCTCAGCTTTTGGAAGTTTACGCATGTACTTAAACAGTTCCTTGAACCTCACCCTGAAACTGGTTTTCTGAGAGTGCAGTGTGGTTTCTGACAGCCTTGAAACAGGAATTACGAACACTGATTGATTCACCTCCTCTTTCAGGGCGTAGCCTGATGGCCATGTTCACTTCTCCACTATGAAAGTTCAGGCAAGCAACGTCTTTGTAGTGCTTCTAATGTAACTTTAAATGCAGAAGAGAATTAGGTGATGTAATGCCTGCTATGAGATGTAAAACTTTTGCTTGTGGGTTTCAGTGGATTCAGTTCTGGGACCTTTTCAAGCATGACCACAGAAAGTCTCTTATTAGTCCCCATGGTTACAGCATGTTCCTCCATACACCATTTTGATAACTGCCAGCATTTAAAAATATGTAGCAGATGTACAGTCCCTCAAAAATGAGATAAAAGCCACTACGGATTCAGTTAACATTGCTTGCTTGTGGTTTACAAAGTCAGGCTACTGTATCCCCCCAGTGACCTGTGGCCTTGTAAATGATTCCTTGGTATTTCCTATCATTTGAATTAAAGATTAACTTTCAAGCTTGGTTAGACTTCTGTGGAAACACTTAAATACAAGACATATGCAATTTTGATACTTTACGTATTTCCTTTCCACTTTCTCTAGCAGAGATTTATTCGGATTAAGACAGCTGGATCTCTTTGGCTGCAGTTAGCCTGACTTTCCCTAGCTTTCTTCCTGATGTAGCCCTGATATTATATTGAACTACTTTTTTTCAGCTACTTTGAAGGTACTAAATTTGTTTCGAATTGCAATACTTGCTCTCTCATAAGAAAAAGGATATAGCAATAGCCATGCAAAGAGTTAAATTTTTAATTTATTGGGAGATATATAGAAATGGATATTAAAACATCCTGGCCTTCATCTATAATTGCTAACAGAAGAAAGCCATTACTTTGTAGGTGAGAAAAGTTAAATATTTGCATCATTTCCAAAGAGAAATTCATATCCAGAGTTATGGAAATGTTATAGTTACATGCCCTACATTGGAAATACAGTTAATTTCTTATTTGGGCCACTGACTTCTTATGTGATTGAGGCAGTCACATATGCCATACAGTTCCTCAGAAGAATTTGGAACAGCACCCATGAGTTCAGTTCCAGCCCTACCAGCATGGGCTCAGTTATATGCAGGTAAATAAAGCTGACCAACATTTCTGTCTCTACTCGCCTTGCACTCCAAAGCAATGAAATGAGATAAAAAGCAAGCCCATCATTTTAGCAGGAATCAGAACTTAGCATTCCTTGTTTTAATTCAGGGCATCTGGATAAATTGAAAGACTCACCAGAATAATCCAAAAATGGATTGAAAATACCATGCAAAACTAAAAGTGAGATGGCTATGTTTTATAAGGCATGACAGATCCCAGAAAGACACTTGATTGTGAAGTGGGCAGCCAATTGCCCATGGAATCCACTTTGCTTTAATTTCTGATAGAAGTGTACTCCTTTGGCAGTGGGATAATGCGTGCTCAGAAGCAATGGGGGCCAAAAAGCAAATTTTAAAGGTGGAGGCCCTAAAATAATTTTTAAAAAGTAAATTCCCTGTTTTCCTCCTCCTCCTCTTCCAAGTACACCCCTGGCAAGTCCGTATCATAGTCCTTCCAGATTTATTATCTCCACCAATATAATTCCTACTCTCACAGATAGAGGAATATCAGATGATGCTAAATAGTGTTCAAAGATGGTGGAATGCATCCAAAACTGACCCAGGTTCAGTGCAATAAATGAAATAAACAATAAGGAGTCTTGCTTGTGTTCAGAAGAAATGGTTCTCATTATCTGTCTTCTGCTTCCTTCTGATGTTTTTTGCATTGCTTTTTTTTTTCTTGTTTATTCTCCAATTTGGGAAGATATTCCTTTTCAGAAATATTTCAGAATATTCAGCTTGCCTTTCTGTCAATTCCTCCTCCCTGGGGATGATCAGAAACACCTCAATGCAAGGTCCTGTTGAGAGTTAAGCCTTTATGTGCTGGAAAAATGCACAAATGTTTCTGGCTGCTCACTGGACGTCACTTCTCTGGTGTACCAGGGTGCCACTCTGGATGATGTACCATGGGTCAGTATGTGGAGGCGCAACTATTTGGAAGACATTTCAAGTGGATGTTTTTGGTGAGGTGCTGTAATTCCAGGGACTTCAGGCCGGGTATGTAAAGTGTATCCTACTGGTGTGTGGCACTAACAGAACAGCTACAGACAGCGAGTAGAAAGAGGCCTGGGGCTTTGTCTTAAAGAACAGACATGAAAGTAGCCATCACAAGCCATGATCGTGTCTGTGTTGTTTCTTTAGTCACATATGCCTTT